TAAATAGATTTGTGAACTCTCGAGTTTTACATCAATCAAGGTCTCCATAAATCCACCTTACATCTTGGATATATTTTAACATATGTTTTCAAATTATATCAATCATTATATTTTGTCATTTTGTTTCTTTTTAATTTGTGGTTTGTTTTCTAGAATTGGATAGTTTATTACAACAATGGTTTTTTTTTTTAGTTTATAATTTGTTTTCTCTTAATTATGTCAAATCCAACGAACTTCGAGATTGATTTGAAAGACTCGAGATTAGCAAATTATATTAATAGACTATATAATAGGAGATATAGGAAGTTCAAGGCTGAGTTAAGTACATACTATAAGTTGCGCAAGACACGTGAGAATGAAGTAGCCAAGCCTCCTTTGGAGATGCTTGATTAAGGTGTAGATCAATGGGTGGAACTGTGTAATTATTTCAATTCCAATAAGTTCAAGGTATTTATTTTATAATTATTTACTAGTTCACAGCTTTTACTCCTAATTTTATTATGTAATATCTATATTTTTTCTTTGTAGAAAGCATCATCGGTGAACATAGTGAACCGATCGAAGAAAAAGTACAATCATCGTACTGATTCACGTCATTTCTCCTATATAGTGGAAGAGATGATAGAGGGATTGAACTTACATGTTATCAACATGTACTTAATTAAATAATTTTGCTAATAATTTGATTATAATGTTTGAAACGTAATTGTTTACTATTAGGATGGTTCGAGGTTTCCTCAAGTCGACACCTTCGAGTTCGCTTATGCAGGGAAGAGTAAGTGTTGGACTTATAATGCAGCTAAGGCCGAACATGTAAGAAAAACTCAGCACTATAACTTTGTTTTGTTTGTTTATCATCTGCTATATCTCTTGTGTATAGTTGTATTATATCTTTAATTATATGGGCTATTTTATTATGTTTGTAGGATAAGATGCATGTCAAAGAGTATAAATATCTTGTAGAGAAGGCAAAGGAGCGATAACTTCCCGAAGATACCCCTTTGGAGGAGATACCTGTAGATGATCCTAAGGCTAGACTTAATATCATGATGCACATTCTAAGTGCAAAGCTCGGACATCAAATTCATGGGTTGGGAGATGGTCGCCTTTGAGACATTGAGACTTCTTCAATGTACATAGCATGCAGAAGGAGTTAGAAGTAGAATGTGCTACTCGAAAAGTAGAATATGAAGTTCGTGTGAAGATGGAGGAAA